AAGTAGCATATATGGCAAAGCCATCCCAATTTTAGTCTCACAACAATCTTGTAAGGTAAATGTAGACCTCCCTTCAGATCAGCTTTTTCTGAAGAGTTATTTGATTAAGGAGACAATTCACAAGTAATATTGTGATTATTATAATAGTAACATCTATATATCAAACAAGAAAAAACATTTTTATTACTATTCTCCAAAGTATTCTGAGGTATTAAATAAGAAATAGGCAGCTTGCACCTGGAATTTTTGAAACTTTAAACATGTCCCCATAACTTCCATATAGAAATATTTTTAGAATTGTACTAGAAAGGTGACTTTTGGATCTTTATTTTCTCACCAGAATGTGATTTGATAATGGATATATCTCGAATCTGTTGATCTTGCTTGACACTCAGTTGTGCCTTTTATTGAGGTTACTTGATAAGTAGGGGTTTGAGAAAAGTGATAAGATACAAGCATGCATGCTAGATTTCCACTGATCCCTTTTATTTTCTCTAAGTACCGTAGTTTGAAAGCACTGTCATTACGATGAAAAATAACAAAGCAAGAGTTTTTCATTATTTCAACACTGTTATTGACTGGGAAAGACTTGCTTTTATAATAATAATAATAATAATGATAAAGTTGGAAGGGACCTTGGAGGTCATCTAGTCCAACCCCCTGCTCAGGCAGGAAATCCTATACCATTTCGGACAAATGGCTGTCCAGTTTCTTCTTAAAAACTTCCAGCAATAATATCCAATTAGCAGCATTGACACTTTGCTTGTCAGAAAGTCACGAAAGATAAACACATGACCCTGGGATACTGCAATTATCACAAATATGAGTCAGTTGCCAATCGACTGAACTTTGATCACATGACCATTGGGATGCTGCAGTGGTCGTAAATTGAAAAAAGGTCATAAACCACTTTTTTCCAGTGTTGTTGTAACTTTGAATGGTCACTAAATGAACCGTTGTAAGTGAAGGACTACCTGTAATAATAAATGCTGAACTCAATTGGTTCCTCAATTGGAGAATGTCTATTATTTTAATTTAGCAAACCACAATTACAGAAGAGCTAGTTTGGTGTAGTGGTTAAGGCACCAGGCTGGAACCCAGGAGACTGTGAATTCTAGTCCTGCCTTAGGCCCAAAGCCAGCTGTAGACTTTGGACCAGTTCCTCACTCTCAGCTTTAGGAAAGAGACAATAGCAAATGGCTTCTGAAAATCTTGCCATGAGTCAGCATTGACTCAAAGTTACCCTCCCCCCCCCAAAAAAAAAATCTACAGAAAATAAGTAAAATTAGTGAGGAAAAAATACCTTTCTTTCCTGGGCACTTAGTGTCTAAATGTATGAAGGACTGAAACTGGATCTATCAGCACACAAAATATGTATTTTACTGAATTCCTCCCCCCCCCCAATGTTGTTTGTTAATGTAGCATAACCAACAATTTTTCTCTTCACTGCTAATTTATTTATTTTATATGCCTCAGAAAAACATTTATGAGCATTGTACATGATAATTTAAAATATACTAAATATATGGAACAAACATGCCAGCAGAGCAAAAATTAATATAAAACACAAAAATCAAAGCAATGATCAAATAGAAAAACTAAAACCACGCTACTAAGAATAAATGATTGCATTTTAAGCATTAAAAACACTAAACCTAAGCACCTAAAAACAAACACTAGTGCCTATTAACTACTGAATGCAGGTGTCAGATGATCTTTACTTGGAAGAACATTTCAAAGCTGGGAAGATGACAGCAAAAAATGGTCCTCTATCTTATTTCCACCCTCTGTGTACATTTATAAATAACCATAAAGCAGAATTTATATATAAAATAAAACTACAAACCATAGAAACTAAAATTAAACCAAGGGGGGGGGAGACTAGTATCTCAATCATCTCCTATAAACTCTCATCACTCTCCCCAGGTAAATAGTCAGATCTTGATGGCTTTCCACAAGGCTAATAAAGTGGGAGGGGGGCTGCCAGATCACCAGATCAGGAACACAAATATGAATGATTGTTTCTCTTCTGCTATTTTTTTTCTTCAAAAGTAAGGATGGAGCAGGAAGGGATGCAGTTAGAAAGCAGAGCGTGCCCAAATCAGACTCTCATTACAAATGATTACCAAAGAATTGCAAGAACTATAGTAGAATCATTTACGTAATTCACACATTTCTTTATTTACGTTCCATTCTATCAGTTACTCCTGCTGCAGCTCAGATTCTTAAAATATTATCAACAAGTCTTTATAAATCTTTCATAGACTACAAATATAGACGAGAAGGAAAAACTGAGAAATCTCATTCAGTGAGTTTCTAAATCTGTGTGAATGTGAGAGGGGAGAGGAATTTCCTTTGAAAATTGGTTTGTACTTTGGTTAAAGATGTTCTGTCACTCGTCTTTTCTTCCATCCTAACCATTGAATTACAAAGTATGTCATTGTAAAGTAGAAATGAAGTAATATTGTTTTGTTGAAGAGACACATTGTTCAAATACGAAGAATATCATGATTTAGGAAGTCATTAGTAGCCTTTGTTTTCCTTTGTTTAACAATGTGTTTCTGAAGAATAGAACCCTATCAACAACTCAAATGAACAATGGTGATAATGACATGCTTTAGAGTTTGTCAAGTATCTACCACTCAGAGTTAAAATTAGCTTTTGTAAAAAAAACAACACCTTTTTCTGATACTCAGTTGTTATATTTGTCTCAAAATGACTATAAATCTACACTTTATGGTAAACTGTATGGTGGTGATGTGATGCGCCATCTCATTACCATCCAAGGTGACATTTCAGAGATGAACAGAAAAGGACCTGAACCCATATAAAACATTCACCATTTCAGTGAGTGGGTTTTTTTTGTGAATGCATACATTGCTACACAAAATAATCTAACAAATTCATATATTGTAATTTTATATACTTCTTTTCAGACACTCTGCATTTACTTTATGCCAATGCATGGTAAACACAGAAGTATTATTACAGGCAACTCAATGGATTACCATTCTAATAGGAGAGTATAAAAGATTAAAGTGTTGAGTGCTCAGAAAATATAATTTGTTATCTTCACTTAAACTCAACAAAAACTGGTAATTCATAATTTCAATTTTGAAGGTAACCCAGATAGTTGAGAGTACCTGAATGGTTATTACCTCAAGGCCAAGTTTCATCAGTGGACAGGGAAAGCTTCTAGATGCTTCATGTTTAGACTCTTCATAATTGCTTATTACAATTCATATGCCATTGTGCAGCTCTTAGGCAAATGTATGTAGATGTGCACAAGGCAATGGAAAGCAATTAAGTTCAAAAAGTACTTACCTATACATGATGTGATTACTAGGCTCTTGGGGGTTTTTTAGATGCTTTTGCTTAAAAATAATTAATTGGATATTGAAATGCTGCTGAATTATACATTTGATATCATATTTATTTTCAAAATGGATGAAAGCTCCATATTCAGTATACTCCATAGGTACTTTTAGAAAATAAATATTTAGGTTGGTTGCAGTCCATGTCTGAGGATGCACCATTTGCTCAGGAAATAAAGGGGAAAAATGAATGTTACTTAAATGGTGACTAATTGGAGGGATTCAATAATGTGGACAAGGGATCTCATTACTTAGCCTTCCTATAACTAGGTGGGTTGTGACTGGCCATGCAGATGAATGGACCAGTTCTTACATCATCAATAATATTCATTTTCTACCAGTGCCCACTACAGACTGTCAGATATCAAAATGTGCACAATGGTGCACACTTTTGTGCTGGGATATACTTAAAATTTTAGGGAGGCTAAATATCTCAGGAACAGTAGCATTCTACATACCTCTCAGAACCTGTGAGGCCTAGTAGTTAGAACATGAGAAAGAATTTGAGAGATGCCTTTTCAAGTCATCACTCAACTAATTAGCTCATGGACTATTCTTGGAACACCGGTCTTTCAGACAAAACTCTTTTATCTTTATCTTTCTTTATCTTTAATTTGATTTATATACCGCCCTTCTCCCGAAGGACTCAGGGCGGTGCACAGCATATTAAAAACAACTATGGAGTGGGATCGAGGTATTTGTATTTGTACCTTGTATTTCTGGGAGGAAAGCAGGGGTAGGAATAAAGTGGACATGATCTCAGGAACTTATGACTACATATAAACTATGACAGGAATAATTAATCGAATACCCCAGAGAGTAACGGCAAAATTTTATCACAGCACCCTCTCTCTTGGATCTTATGCTACTGAATTCTGCTATGACCAATATCAGGGAATTGCACGGCCGGTGTCCAAATGGAGTCAGAGATGCTGACATGAACTTGTAGTTTTATATAAATATATTTTACAACTATATATATATATATATATATATATATCAGACTAGATAGTTAGGTAAACAGGAGCATCATCAGGTAAATCATCGCAGCAGGACCATCATCAGGTAAATTACAGAGCATGCACAGCACACAGAAGAAAACAAGGAAATTTCTCCATTTACACTCACAGCAACCAATCACAGCTTAGATTGCCTCATGCAGTGGTCAGCTCTCTTCAACCAATTAGCCAAAACTGTGCGTTCTTATTCATTGTCCAACCCTTCACTGCTCCAGCTATTAAATTAAATATCTTAACAACCAAAATGAAGGGAAACTTTCTAAATCTGCAAAAAGGAATCATCCTGCACAGCAGGATTATACGTGGTGTTTAGAATCTGCAGGCACAACCTCGTATCCCAGTGAACGGGCTGTTCCCAGCTATTGAACTAGATGGCAAGTTTCATATTGATTTCCATGGAGCAATATTTGCAACTCAGCCCACCTGCTGAGAAATAAACATGAAGAATTGTTTAAAAATCCATCCCCAACAATAACATATTTGTGACGAACTCTTTTGGATAATCAATACTTGTCATGGGTGGACTTTTGGGTTGCATAATGCATGTGTTAGCAATCTGCTAAGGACAGCACATTGTTTTTGCAGACACATGACATAAAGATGATACCTTTTCCAGCTGTTGGATTCCTTCTTCCACACAGCATACTGAGGCCAGTGTGCGGAGTATTTGAGGATATAGGCATCTGAAGCAATCTTGACGGCAGATTTTAAGCAAGGCAACAATACCTCCTTCCTGCAAGAAAAAAAATCAGAAAAAACTTGAAGTAAGTCTACAAGTTAAGAAGAAGAAAACTTCCCAACAATACAAGTGAAGAAGCAATGTTCTAGAATCAAGTTCCAGTGCAGTCCCTGTGTGCTCCAACATCTGTATCAAAATGTCCCAACAGGCTTTCTAGTTGCCTTTTTAAACACACACACACACACACACACAGAGAGAGAGAGAGAGAGAGAGAGAGAGAGAGAGAGAGAGAGAGAGAGAGAGAGACAGACAGACAGACAGACAGACAGACAGACAGACAGACAGACAGACAGACAGACAGACAGACAGACACAATATTTTAATTAAAAATAAATGACATCCAGCATTCTGCAAAACAAAAACGTCCTCATGCATAATCTTTATTTCCAGGAATGTTTCTGGACTCCAGGTAAACCCCAGAGGCATTTTTAGAAAATAAAATGGTGGTTGGCTGTGACTCAGTACTTCTTTGGCAGTGTGCCTCAAGTTCAGGGAAAAAAATAGTAATAGAAAGCAACTAAAAGATTATATGATGGAGTGATGGAGAGTAACTTCACTAATTCATCTTCTGCTAAATAAATATTTTGTGATTGGGTGTGCCCATTACAGTAGCCATAAAATGGTCTCCAAATTCCAAATGTGTGGATTAATCCAAAAACGCAGATCACTGAAGGAGAAACCAGGCAGCCATTTATCACAAGTGTTTTAATTTGGATTTGGGTAGGGGGCTTTGTGCAGCGTTTTGAATACTTCCTTCCAACTCTATCATTATGTCATTGTCTTTTTAGTAATCCCTGGTAAATACTGTACCTATCACAAGCACAGGAAGAAAGCCATGAAGAAAGCTAGCCATGCAAGCAAAATACTTGACATTCCCCAGGCCAATTATTTGCATAGTGACTGCAATTTATTCAGCAATTAGGTTCTCATCTGTTAAAAAATATGAGAAAGTTCCAGTCCTTAAAACTTGTATCCTGGTGCACTGGAAACATAGCTGCTTGTAGCAAAATAAAATTAATCAGCTTCTGGTAGCTTGAATGTCTCTAAATTGATGCTAAAACAAAACACTTTCTAGAGGACATTATTTTATTAGTCCTCAGAAAAAGCAAACAACCCCAAGTGGATGTTAACATGGTTGTAATCAAACATGTGTCCCTCTTTCTTAACCAATTAAACATTTAGCAGATAAGTTACATGAGAAGAAAAACAAGCTGTCGTTTGCTATTCAGTCTTATGGTCAACTTCAAGGAGCTGTTTAATGGCCATTAATAAAATCAATTCCTTCCAAGAATATTGCTTACTTCTTCAAATAATGATACATTATATCCTTAAATAAAAGTTTTATTTATCCTACAACAGGAATGGGTAATCATTGGGACTCTCATCTTCCCCATTAACCCCCAGAGCAAAAGTAAGGTTGAAGTAGTTGTTCATGGTCAGTTTGTTGGGTCCTGACCTTACTTTCTACTTAGTGTATTCTCTATCATCTTAAGACCAGAAAGACTGCCCATTTCTTTCCCAAAGGATGGCAGATATGTTGTAACAATGGCTCTATGTAGAATAGCTTTGAAAAGGAAAGTTTAATGAGTTATCAATACATTTTTGATTCCTGATGACTGCCTGGACAAATGCCTGCAGTTTTCTTGCTAAGATTTCAGAAATAGTTTGCTGTTACCTGCCTCATCTAGGGGGGGAAGAGGGAGGGAGAGGGGGAGAGAGGGAGAGAGAGGGGGAGACAGACAGACAGACAGACAGACAGACAGACAGACAGACAGACAGACAGACAGACAGACAGACAGACAGACAGAGACTGGCTTAAGATTCCCCCAGTTGGCTTTGTGCCTGAGGCAGGATTAGAATTTACTGTCTCCGGGTTTCTAGTTTGATGCCTTAGCCATTAAATCAAGTGGTTCTCTTCATTCCTTTATCCCACCAATAAAATCTATGTGCCTTCTTGGCACACACTTATCCAGTCCTAACTCCATTGCAATATCTTGGCTGTGTATACATGCAGCACTGAGCAGCAATTCCATTTCAGGTATTTTTCCATATAGCTTCAGGTCATCCATGTAAAGGAGGTGAGATAGCCTGGTATATGTTTTTAATGTTAGGTAGCATCAGTGCTTTTTTTGTTTAAAAAAAAAAAGGTGCCAGAACTCACACACGTCATACAACCCGGAACTCCGTTCTGGGCGTTCTATGAGAAAAAAAGCCCTGGATAGCATAGTCTAACTTGTTCAGTATTGTTGATAGAGGAATCAGTGAGGTGACAAACATCAGTGGTGAGAGTGGGTCTCCTTGAAAGATTCCTCTCTTGATATTAACTGCTCCCAGTTTATTAGCATTGACCAGCAACTGTGCCTTACATTCGCACAAATCTTCTGATGTTTTTACTGAGTCCTGTTTTTCTAGGCACTTGATTATCTAATCATGTGTCAGGGACTGGAATGCCTTCTTATAGTCAATGCAAACTATATTCAGGTTGGTCTTGCAGTTTTCCAAAATCAGCTTTTTAATTAGAAGCTGAGCTTCTGTTCTTCTGCTGAGCTGATCTTTTGTTTTATTATTATTTTACAATCTAGTTTATAACTAGATAGTCTTTCCCAGATAGTCTTTCATTCAAAAACTAATTAGATCCAATCCATTCTAAGCTCCAAGTTCTGGCAATATATAATTGTGAATGTTCAATACAGCAACTGGCTAGTGCAGAAATAATCTTAAATCTGCTTAGCCCTACAGAAAGTTTACTACTGACTAGATGGGAATTATTTGCAGATAAATGTAATTACGATTTTGACCTAAATGGTTTTCAGTTTTGTGAAATAATCCTTTTTCATTTGTAGCATATGGCTATATTGCAATTCAGAAAGCTTTATTGGCATGGATACAATCAAAAATGTGAATGAAATTCTATTGATTTCTGGAATTAATACCACAAGCAGAGACTTTATTTTCAAATCACTCACTCTTGAAGTCACTGCAGTTGGGCACTATATACAATGGCAAAATAACAACAATTGCTATGAACATTGTTACATATAAAAATAGCTTGATGGTTCTTTTTATGCCATTTTTAATCTTGAAAAATGGGAATAATAGATTATTTATTTAGTGCCTTCAGTTGATCACTATTCCTGATGATTATGTAGACAAATGATTTGGAGATTTTTCAGCAGTGCCATTGTCTTCTTCCTAGGTCTGAGAAAGAGAGAGTCACTGGCCTCCAGTTGGCTTTGTTCCTACAAACTTAGTCTTTTGGTTTCTGGCCTGGGGCCTTTAATCAAACTGCCTCTCTATTATTTATTAGGATAATTTATATCTTGCCCTTTTAGAATAAAAATCTTCCCAAACGAGCTTTAAAACAATGAATGTTGAAGAATCCGCTTGCCAGGAGAGACATTATTTTTAATAACTTTCTATTCTGGGAGAAAGCAAGTATCTGAGTAGCCAGCTCATCATCACTGGAAAGGGAGCGGGCACCTTACTGCATTGGCACTGCAAACCATGTTCTAATCTAGGCCATGGTAGAACAGCACCTTCTTCCTTCTGATCTGCCTCCACCAAGAACCAGTCTGAAGATTTCAAACAAACATCTGTTCAGCAAATAAAGAGGCTTGAATCTTTGGAATAATGTTAAGAGAGCCAGTCAATTATACCAGAAGCCCTTTCAGAAATGCTACGTACAGCCAAGTTCATAATTTTAATTTTTTTCAATACTGCTTAACACAGATAAACACTTTATTCATGGGTAAGAAGTAAGGATAAACATAATTGCTTTGTCCCTTTTCATCACCATCCTCACTATTCTTCACATGTAGAAAATAACTTATGTGCAAGGGGGAAATTGCTGTATCTATCTTCTCTTATAGTCATCATAATGTTGGAAAGTTGGTATAAACCACTAAAGCAGACATGTCAAACTCGCGACGTCACGTGACGTTGCGCAACATATCGGGCCAGTTTTGCCATTGTCGGCAATGGGGTGGGCGCGGTTTCTGGATGACGCATCCGGCCTGCGGGCTGGCAGTTTGACACCCCTGTACTAAAGGGTTATTATCATAGCTATTTTGATTCCTTTCTGGGGGAAAAATGAAATAGCTGTAGGTATTTTAATACTTCCCTATTACAGCCTAAGGATACTTTTTTTTCAGATAATCTCTTTCAATCTCAAAGTGGCTCAAATTAAATTCAGTCTGAAATCTTGACCTTGCTATTTGCTGATTAGTTGTTGTTATAGAAATGCTAGTATTTATTAAGTTTGTAAAAGTAAAAAATAATTTTTGTATTTTACTGAGCTAAAAAAGTTGAAAGTCAATGTTTTTTTTCTTTCCCCCTTCACTCTACACTTCTCTTTCCCCTTTCTTTCCCCTTCCTATTTTCCTACTACCTTTATTTTCATTTGTATTTTATACTATTATCTTAATAAAAAAATTAAACATGTCAAATTCAATCTGAGTTTACAGACTGACTTATGCTCCTCTGAATCTCACATTTTTAATCCTGTACAAATCAAATGACAGGTTTAATGCCCAGAGTCTTGAGGACTGGAAAACACAGACCTCAAGTAAGATTTTTGGAATTTGGAAATGGATTTTAAGATTTATGAGGACAGTAGGTTATGTGGACATACAGTTTAAAGATGAGAAGAAGCTGAACCTTCTCATATACCTAAGCCAAAATTTATTGGAAAAAATAAATTGCTTAACATTTTAAAGACTTCTTGTTCTCAGGTTTTAAATAATTTTGCTGGAAAAGCAGGTGTAATAAAGAGGACTTCTAACTATCAGACTAAGAAGGATTTTGATGGTGACCTATTCAATTGCTTTTATTAAACTCCATTGATTTTCACATTGTTGCCTGTAATAATAGACAAATTTATTTGTGCCTCTCTGTGAAAGAAAATAAGTTAATTTAATTTATTTAAAATCTATATTTGATCAGCCATGTTTGGTGAGGAAAATAGATATATAGGCATTCATAAGGCCAGCTTTCACTTTTTAAAAAAAATATCAATAATTTTGGGAAAAGAATTGGTGATATAAATTGTATCCTAAAAATAATTGTGGGTATTAGAGAGTGCTTTGATCTTACCTGTGATAAAAGCTAAATAACTTTAACAAAGAATTTAGAAGAAAACAATCCATTCTTAACTTTTATCAATTTTTATCTCAAAGCTTTCGCCCATTTTTTTATATTACGTTATTTCTTTAAAATGAACTAATGTGTGAAGAATAATCAAGTGCTATAATGAAGTACAAGAGCCAAGGAACAAAACAGCAGTGGCTTTGAGCAGGGAAGAGAATTTAAAGCTCTTTGAGTCAACAACTTGAAATTCTCTTCCCTCTTTTGGGAGCTAGCTTCTTTCTCCAATTCAGCTTTTCCACTAGACCAGTGGTGGCGAACCACGGGTACCAGAGGCGGCACTCGGAGCCCTCTCTGTGGGCACACGTGCCGTTGCCCCAGCCTTGCCTCCCCACAACCCCCTCCTCTCCAGCAGCCCCCCTGAAGGAGAGTCGCTCCCAAGCGTGGCCCACACAGAGCAGCGCAGCCAAGGACATGGCAGCCAGGCAGCATAGACAAGACTCTGCCCTAACACCCCATCATGCAGTTGATGCTACAGGGCACGGGCAGGGGGTGTGGCCGCCATAGCATTGCTTGGCTGCCTGGGCGATCTGCAGCGAGCCCTGGAGGCGGTGACTGGTCCTGTGGGCAGGTGGGGTGGGGGATGGGGGGCAGAACGGGGGCAGGGCAGGGGGTGGAGTGGGCGTGGAGCCAGTTTTTGGGCACTCGGCCTCTAAAAGTTTCGCCATCACTGCACTAGACGTTCTCTCATTCTAACTGTTTTTATTGAACAAATTCTTCTATCATGCTTGATCCAGATAAACTAAGAGAGAATTCCTAGATGTGCAATGCAAAATCACATTTATAATATTACAATATCTTTAGCCTGAATGGAAGTATCAAAGCTCACTTCGATATTTCCACTCAGACAGGAACTACTTTTTCAGCCCCAATCTTTTCCACAAATCTATAAAAAGGAATAATAGTGGTAGCCTAAATTATGTTCTTGAGTGTCAATTTGGTGTAGTAGTTAAAGGTACCAGGCTAAAAACCAGGAAACCATGAATTCTAGTCCTGCCTTAGGCACGAAGCGAAAAGGTGACTTTGAGCCAGTCAGTCTTTCTCTGCCCCAGGTAAAAGTAAATGACAATCTACTTCTGTAGGTCTTGCTAAGCAAAGTGCCCGGACACGTCTACCTGGTCACAAGGACTCAAAACTGACTTAAAGGCACACATACACATACAAAAGTAATAATTGTGAGAATTATGGAGAAATATTGCTAAATCTGAAGACTTTGTTTCTTATATTACAATTGTCCGTACAGTCAAATCTATTCACCACTAACAGTTTGTTCTGCCAGTGAGGGAACATGTAATAAGATTAGAGTTATGTTTGGGTACAATATTCCTGCTTTTCTCTGATCCACATGTTCTCTATAGAGATGAGGGGGGGGCGTAATTTTGGCCCACATTCTCATAATCACAGATGAAAAATGAAAAAATAGAGAGATGGGAAATGTACATTTTGAGATAAAATGCCACCAATGCAGTAGTAATTCTTAAATTTTAAGAACAACAGCCTATGATATTGATTATTTTCTCTGGAAAGAAAATTCCACATTTTAAAATTGGGAGGGGAGAGAGAAAACATTACAAAAGGAAGCCACCTGCATCTGGAGCTCAATAAAATAGTTGTTCTAGAATCATCCCAAGTGCAACTTGCCTTTGCGATGATGCGACACAAATGGGATCCTTCTTGAGTAAGACTGAATAAGTTGCTTACAGCTGATTCTACACAATAGATGTTATCTGATGAATCCATCTCCTTCACCAAGTTCTGTGTAACAAACCAAAAACAGACAAAAAGAAGTAATTGTAAGACTTATCTCTTAGGGTATTTAGACAGTGAATCAGACATACATTCAAACCGAAAAGAAGAATACGGCTCTTCTTCTAGTACTATATTCAGAGTGCTAACTTTCATAGAGAAGCAACTTTATTAGGACACAAGTATCTGGAAAGGCATAGAGTATATTCAAAAATTCAGAATGTTTGGATAAAGTCAAAGGTATGATTAAATATTCCTTAGCTCTGTAGAGGCCCCAGACCCATTACATATGTCTATTGAAATGAATCTTTACTGTCTTTTTTCTTCTCTCCTCCTCTCCCAGTCTTCTGGGGCTACTCACCACTGGTGTCCTTGGTACTTATTAGGTTAGCTTCTCTGAACACAGGTAACTGGTACTCTTCTCCCTTAACCAGAGCTGTTCCTTGCTGCTTTAGCTCCAGACTGTGAAATTGGAAAACTACTTGTTTTCCAATTTCACAACTACTTGGGGGTGGGGAAAGAGGACAAAAACCTCTTCCTTTTCTATGTTGTATTCCATTCTTCTCTCAGAGGGTCTCCTTATTAGAAAATACTGCTCAGCTTCTTGATCCTCTAGGGCAGCGGTTCTCAACCTATGGGTCGCGACCCCATTTGGGGTCGATCGACCATTTCACGGGGGTCACCAAGCAAGGCTGTCCGCCATTTTTTTCCCCTTTTCCGGCGGGTGCCTTACCTCCCTTGGGCTGGGCCAGCTGGTGGTCGACCTGCTCCGTCTCTGACGCTTGCCAGCTACGCCTCGGCCGGCGCAGGGGCAGAACCACTCATGCACGGCGCAGGGAAAGTCCTCGACTTACGACCGGTTGGGTAGTCCTCGACTTACAACCAGTTTAGTCCTTGACTTACGACCAGTTGGGGTCGCGGCATTAAAAAGGTTGAGAACCACTGCTCTAGGGTTTATGGTTCTAGTGGCAAGCCACTAGAATATCAATTGAGAGCAAACACCTCTCCCTACTAGCACTGATGATGGATTACCTAGTTTGGGTAATGAAATCTCTGCAAGAAAACTACCAATCTCAGAGAGGACCCCTCATTTCAATACTAAGTTACAAATATTCTCCTTTATTGTTCAGATTTGTGACCAAGAAAACAGCATGGACTTACAGGCAAATCAAGATTAATGCACCAGAATGTTTAGACTGCACAGGGTGGTGACATGGTCTTAGTCTTTGTTTAAATATAAGCCTCTAATGTCAAACAAATAACAAACAACAAAATACTTCCGGGTATCTTAAGAGATATAAAGAGATAAAAATAGAAACACTGCCAAATTATGTTTTTACTACCGAAAAGAAAAACATACTAACCTTTATTTCATACGTTAGAGCTAGTTCTATCAATTGGGCAAAATACTGTGCCACTGTGGTTAGCGCATCATTAATACAAGATTTCATTGATTTCAACATTTGTTCATCTTCAATCTGTATGCACCTGGAAGAAAATGTTTTTAAAAAGATGCCAAAGTTTCAGTCCAGTGGCAGTGTAATTTATAATCCAAGATCTAATCAAGATGCAACACCAAATAGCAGCTCTATAGCATCAATATAAAGGTAAATTAAAATTCATAATTAATATGATTGCCACAATTTGTGAACCACCAATATATAATTCTGTAGCCTAAGGATTTCCCATTCTTTTCTATTAAATACATACTTTTCCACAAAACACATATTAAATCCCTACCACAATTAATATTAGCTATTAATCCAAAGAGAAGACTTCAGTGGTGGGATTCAAATATGTGAACAACAGGTTCTCTGTGTGGATGCCGCTTCCGGAAGTCTGTTCTGGGCCTGGGCAACAAAAAATTAGCTACCGGTTCTACCGAACTGGTACAAACTGGCTGAATCCCACCACTGGAAGATTTATACATATTAGACTTGGTAGAGGCCAGGCTTTCTCTGCAAGTGGAAGAGGCCTATTGGTTTCAAACCTACCATAATATTATAGCTCTTCGACCCATTAAGGTTGTCCACAATTTTTAATATAGGTTTGATAAAATAAAAGTACAAGAATCAATAATGTTTAATATTACCTTTCAGTAATTGTTGTAAGCTCCGAGCACTTTTCCACCAGCATTTTTTTATACTGCAGAAAATAGGAACAGAGATGTGTTGCATTAACTTATTTGTATGAGATTTATTAACTCATTCTTAGTTCAGCAGAACAATGTGGATAACCAAAATATAAATCTTAAAAAATACGGCTGATGGCAAGTTGGGCTGCAAATGGATGATTAACCTTTTATTCTGGTGAGGGAGTTGGATATCAAAGGCTCTGCAGGTTTACTCTACATGGAATTCTATTTTCTCCCTCCCTTTTAACGTCAAATAATAATGAGGAATGAAGTACATGGGATGTCTCTCATCCTGCCATATTTGATCCTGTTTTTGGATATTGGGGGGAGAGGGGAGTTAACTTGTTTGTGATCTCTAAAATCAAAGTTCCAATATTCAGAAGCATCAGTTGCACCTAGAAGTTACACCTACATGGAATTGGGAGGGGAGAATTCTTTCATTCTTTCTTTCTTTCTTTTTTGCAGGTGGTTAGAAAGGAATTATCTGATTCCTAAATTCATGTAATACCCATTCTTCTGAAAAGTACCCAGAGCAGCTAATCAAAATAAACAAAAGCAAAATTTTATTAAAACCAAGATTTAAGATACTCATTTGAAATCCAGAATAAAAAAAATGTTTTGACCAAGAGCTAAAAGACTAGAGGATCAGGTTTATTAAATGGAATATTTTAAGATTAAATACATTTTCAATTATGGTAAAAAAGTAACGGAAAAAATTGGAAATAAATATGTGTTAGCTTATAGGAAATAGCGATTTTAAGTAGTATACTATCTTTTTATTTTATTCTTTTTTATTCTCATTCTTTTTTTTCTTTTTAGGCTTATTTATTCCTTAAGAAAGGTAAAAGTATTGGGTTGGTTTACATGAGAAAAAATAGATTTAAATATTTAAATGTAATTAACTCTGAGAAAATCTTAACCAGTAAAAATGTTTAGAACATTGTGGGAAAAACAAATGTAAACAAGAACTGTAAACAGGATATATGATGAGACAACCAGAATGACTAGATAGAAAAGGAATGCTATACTGATATGATTATTATTTGTAGAAATATTAGAAAACTTTTATATTTAATTATCACCTATTAAAACAATAAGAATTGTATTAACTTAAGGTTGGTAAAAGAGAACACTATGGGGAAAAGAGGAAATCATGTAAAGTTATCATGTGGATTATAGACTATAGAATTTAATTGTTAGTGAATGTTTGTTAAATGTAAACCCAGACAGTGCACTGCCTACCGAATATTAAGGTGAATATGTTAAAAAATTAACAAAACATACTTAAAAATTGAAATCCATAATAGATTAGCATCTCCAGGCTGATGTTCTGGATCACAGCACACACAACTTCTCTGTCGATATTAGAATCACATTGCTATGTAAATCTAAGATACTATTTTTTTCTATTATCCCTGATATCCATACTGCTCATAAACATATAGGAGCTTGATCTGGATTGGGATCACAGCTAATCCTTTTCCAAGTCCTCATTTTTTAAAAAAAAAAATATACACTTAATGACCTGCACTTTTTCATTCTGAAAATCTATTGAGTGATCTTATTGAAATGAGCAGACAAGTGGAAATATAAGAAAGGCTGAATTAGAGTTTCCTATTCTTATATTTGGCAATCTTACTTTAGAATGTAAAGTATTACCAACCATATAAGAAAAGTAGGATGTGCTATAGCAGAATAACACATTATATACATTGCAAAGTTTGTGTCTAGAGTTAAAGCAAAAAGGAATTGTAGCATAAAGAGGAAGGCCATAGACCCAATAGGTACCGTAAGACTATGATTTACATATAGAAAATCCCAGGTTTATTTCTTAGTATCTCCAGCTGAATGGTTCAAGCAACAGATTATGGTAAAGTCCTTTGAACCGAGCTCTTGATGCCAATCAAATCAGGCAAACTAAATTAGCTTTAAAAAAAATTCTAATTTGATTTCATTTCTAAGACCTCACCCTCACCAATTTACTCTGAGTGATATACAAGAAGATTAAAATCATCAGTATAAGGGAACTCAAAATTCTCTAGCAATAAAAGTACTATGCCAGACACAAACTGCATTAATTATTAATTATTATGATCTGGTGTTTCTGAAGCTTCCTGCCAAAATAATGATTCTGACATTATTATTATATACTGTATATTATGCACACACATAAACACAGACACATTCTTTCCAGTTCCATGGAGTTCTAGATTTTCTTGTTTTAAAGGTAGTATTTTTATGTTTATTCTAGACTGTATGTAATAGTTTCATAATACTACTGGTTTCTACATTGATTTTACCTGATGCATTTCTTCCCAAGAATTCCTTGTGAGTATATTATATTCATTGATCATTGATCGGACATGACAGCTGACTCGGACTGTCATGCTGTGCACCCTCTGCCATCTATTCTTCTCCAGCTTTTGAACAATCCTGGTCAGCTCGGTACTTATAATCCAAGCTCTTTTCAGCAACAATTGCAAGTTGTCACAGGTGCCATGTTGGGATGAAACGGGAAATTCGCCATCTTCTTCCAAACTGATTGGTTTAGACTGAAGGATACACATGCATTCACTGTCAGTCATGAGCTTCAAGTCTTCCATCCAGCGTTGGACTGAGTCCATCTGAATTAAATGCATACTTAAAAGGAGAAAAGAAAAGAAAAGAAAAACTTTTAGCAAAATAATATTTAGCCAATAATATTTGGCCAGTTATATTTCTGTTATACTGTATTTGGCATGGTTCTTCATGCCAAACCAGTTTTGTTTCAGCCAAGACATTTGGTTACCTACTGATAGAAATAAATTAGATGGATTTTTGGTACAATCTATTCCATCAATAATTACGAAAGCATGGGCAGAAGATCTTGAGTTGATTTTCATATGCATGGATATAAAATTCCAGAGAGTTGCAGGGTGATTCTGTTTTGAGCCTAGCATTCTGTATGAATTCTTATCAATTCATTTCAAAGGTAGGACACAAACACAGTGGTGAGTGAAGCTCATAGATTCATTCCAGTTTGAGGAGTGTTCCTTTCAATTTGCTGAACAGAAGTGAGTATATATTACAATGAGTTAACATGTAGTGTTTTTCTTTCTTATTCTATTTTAATTTGTATTAATTTTCACTCTTTAACTTTCAGTAAAATTATATTTATGATATAATCCTCCTTGACTTTATTTCTACTTCACTGTAGCCTCCACCTTCATCTGTCACTAACCCAGAGTAACAGGAATGGAGTCACTTGATTTTGAAATCCTGATAAACTAGTTTAAGGAGAAAAGGCTATTCTCTTATCCTTCAACATAAAGCTTAAGATAAACAAATAACAAAAAGTTGTATTTCTGCCCAGCTAATCTACTGATATACTTCGAGTAGCATAGAAAATTGAATTTAGGCTTAGTCCAGTTTATTATTAGCTAACTTGATTAAAGGTTATTTAATGCTGTGATTCTGCAAGCTGACTGAAGACATTAGTCATGATATTGGTAGGAAGGGAGGTAACAATTTTGCAAGACCATTTCTTCCCCTGCTAAAAAAAGCAGCTGTTGAAATATCTTATATGATGATATGAAATGAAAGGAATGAAATGATTATAAAGAGTAATTAGGATTTTTTTTTCCAGTTTGGAGATGGTGAAACTATCTGCTAAAAAAAGAATTAGTCTTTTGCTGAACTACTATAACTACATATGACATGGCAGATGAATATAGTGTGCAATAAATTCTATGGATATAATTTGACATTTGCCTGAATCAAATGAGACAATGTGGTCAAAAGCATCCACAAAATTCTGTTCCCCCCCCCCAGCATATTCTAAATAGCCCCTGCTAAAACACAAATGCTACGCCTGAGTTGGGGCGTTGATTCCCCTCTCCCATGGATTTTCAAAGCAGAATCTCTTCCAGAATTTATTCCCATCAAACAAATATCAAATCTTTCACCAGCAGGGGGAACTCTATGGAGGGATATCCTTTCTTTCCTCTAGGGCAGGAGTAGGCAACCTTGGCTCTTTTATGACTCGTGGACTTCAACTCCCAGAATTCCTGAGCCAGCATGGCTGGCTCAGGAATTCTGGGAGTTGAAGTCCACGAGTCATAAAAGAGCCAAGGTTGCCTACCCCTGCTCTAGGGACATCAAATAAGGGGGGAGGAGAATTACCTCCCCTCCCCAAGTGTAATCTTTTTATAGCTTTAACTTATATCATTAGGAAATGGTATACAGATATAGCATGGATAATATAACAAAGGTAGAATGTTATCATCAGATGATATGAAGCTACTGATTTCAAGGGGGATGATTCTCTCGGTATCTTGTTTAAACAAGCCCATTTTCCCTGGCCCCTTGGCAAATACACTCACTATAATTTACCTTGACATAAAGATTAATATAGCAGTTCAACCAACACTGAAGGTTTTTAAGAAGAGATTGGATAACCATTTGTCTGAAATTGTATAGGGGAGTGATGGCGAACCTTTTAGAGATTGAGTGCCCAAACTGCAACGCAAAACCAACTTATGCATCGTCGAGTGCCGGGTGGGTGTGGCCAATTGGGTGGGCGTGGCCCATTGGGTGAGCATGGCCCATTGGGTGGGCGTGGCTGCAGTGGTAACGGCAGACTGGGTGGGTCTAAAAAGTTCAATCAATCAATTCCAACTTTGCAAGATCTTTTTTTTTCCCGCAAGAAGTTGAAATTGATTGATTGATTGAACCTTTTTTTTTGCACACGGCGGTGGCGGAGCCCTAAAGTGAAAAGGTTTTATAAAACCCAGCTGAAGACCTAGGACTGGGGCGATGGTGCGCGTGCCCACAGAGAGGTTCCCATAGGTTCGCCACCACTGGTATAGGGTTTCCTGCCAGAGCAGGGAGTTGGACTAGAAGACCTCCAAGGTCCCTTCCAACTCTGTTATTCTGTTATTCTCTCCCTCTTTTCCAGGCTCTTCCTTTGGGGCAGGTCTCCAGTCTGCTTCTCTCCGCTTCTCTTCTTCTTGGCCCTCCATGGTTCATTCCTAGCCAAATCCTCTGGCCAATTCTCTCAGAAGTGAAACTTCCAACCTCTTAGGTTCCACCTGAGCTGAACAGTCGACCAATGGTCCAGAATGCTTTGCAGGATTTTTGTGTCTTCTCTCTTTACCTTTTGCTCAGGAGCAGTCTTTCTGCCAACGGGACTTCCTTCCTTACTGCATCCAAACCTGTTTCTTCTTTCCTTCTATCCCTTGCCACACCCATAGTTGGAGCCTTATGACCTAGTCTCCTGTCTCCTCCCTGAGCTACTTTTGTTTTGCTCAATTCAGTCCCCCATTATCTTTAGGGACCAGTTAAACTATAACCAGAAGGCAGCAGGTCTAAGTAAAGATTCCTCTCTCTCTCTCTCCTCTAATTCTGTTTCTCTACAGTATTTACTTATCATCCCCATATGCCCCATTTTCTTCATTCTTCAATTTAACTTTTTTCCCCTTTCCTGTCTTGCACCAACTACACAGCAACCATAGGGTTGCACATGCAATTTTCCTACTTGCTATAGCCTTTACAACACTCTTGAAAAGGTTGGCCTATATTCTTATCCTCTCTGTCAAAATATTGGTGGGTTTGTTTTACTTTTACAAATTGCTCTTGTTTAGCCTCCAAATGGATTGACCTAGGAATGTATTGCTATGAACTTAGTGGATTATGTTTCTAAGTATTCTAGAATTAGAATCCAAATTAGCCTTCATATGAAACTGGCAGTTTCAGTGTTGCACGTAAATAAGATGAGTTGTATACAAATACCGATACGTGGTTTAAGGTGCATTCAAATATTTCTTATCACATCATATATTTGAATTCAGACCTGGTGAGGGAAAGGCTCATGTTTACTGAGGCAACAAGATCCAATAGAGCTCTAGCTGGGAGAAGCTGATAGATGATCATATTCCCTAAATCCTACGATCCCAATAACTTGTCTTATTGAATCCCCAGAGCAGATTTGGGGGAATGAACAAGGGCCTACAAGGGGAAGAGTGTTGATGAATATTGCCTTCCCAATTCCTCAACAGGTTAGTGTTTCACCCACATATGGCCTGAATTTTGTATGTGTGTGTGTGTGTGTAAGTGTGTGTGTGTGTGTGTGTGTGTGTGTGTGTGTGTGTGTGTGTGTGTGTAAAAGATGGAGGAAGAACACAAACATCTATTATAAAGTCTAGGCTGAAATTCACAAGCTGCACTAAGTATAATTCATGCTTCCAACTGAAATCCTAACCACTGTTAGAATTCTGCTATTCAGAGCACACACCATTTAAAAAAATCTCATTTAAAAAAAAAAAAAACCTACAAGTTCATAGCTTAAGGCTTAACAATATTTTATATTACTTCCTTAAAATTAAAATCAATATGTGAACTAGCAGTCAGAAAGCTTACAAGGATAGAATAGCTATAATTGTTAGATATGCTGGCAATCATTCTGAGCCCAATCTGACAGCAGTAAAAAGAGCATTGCCATTATTGTTCCCATCAGTAGTGCTCTGGACTCAGAACCTAATTAGGTTTCATTAAGCAAAAAGAAAGAAAGAAAGAAAGAAAGAAAGAAAGAAAGAAAGAAAGAAAGAAAGAAAGAAAGAAAGAAAGAAAGAAAGAAAGAAAGAAAGAAAGAAAGAAAGAATCTTCATACAAAATATTGCTGGTACATTATCAATTGAGTTGCACCTTAAATTTTAAAAATTTATTATATTTTTCTTGTCATTTTACATGACCACATCATATGAGGCCATGTATCATCACATTTTGTATAACTCTAATATCGAAAAGGTGATGTCCATCCTTTCAAATGCATTCTTTGGAGAGTCCAATGTATCCTAAATACAATTTTTGATGAACCAACTTTCACTTGGTTAACTTCAGATCTGCAGATATTGAAAGGGTACATTTTAATAATAAAACAATATTGTAATAATAATAATATATTTACATTCAGTCTTCCCTTCCTTTCATTTATAACAAAGCTGATATTTTGAGGTAAGTTTGATTTGGATGTGATTCCAAAGTACATATCAGTAAGAATATGTTCAGCTTCCATTGACAGATGTCGAGATACATTTAAAATATAACTTTCCTAGTCAATCTTCAGATCCATATGTATTATACTGTAGAAAAGTCTTTAAAAATTGAAAATTTCTAATGTATGCCAAGCAATTCATTCCAAAACACTTTAGATAACAAAGTAAATTATATGTCTAAACAAAGGCAGTCACATTTTCTTGTTGAATTAAAGTGTTATTGCTTTTGGATGTAAAGAGTTCCTATGTCTTGTCCTTTTGTAATGATTTAGATTACCACTCTGAAGACAAAATATAAATATCTTTTAAAATATATAGCATGAAATTCAAATTAAGTGAAAGAGATGGATTGAAATAAATTATCTAAAGACTTGTTTTATTTAAGTAGGAGAGAACACTACAATTTCCTAGTTGTTCAATTTAAGAATATAATTATATTTATTTCCTTACTTATTTTTAAAAAATAATTATAGTTTTAAAGTAGAGGTAAAATTGGTAGGTCTTACAGCCCAATTTAGGTTTCCATCTTTAATCCAGTTATATCATATAAAAGTATGATATATGTATGTAACAGTTGGACTGCTGAAAATATCATAACCTATTATCTTA